CACCAAAACTTTGTTTTTTTTTTTAAATCATACCTAACAAATAGTTAAAGTTTTATTTTGATATCTCACAGTCATAAACTTAACAAAGATGTTGACATGTAACCATAAGGTAATGTCACATCATTATTAAAAAAATGCTTAATTATAAAATTAGTGTCCAAACTATATCACTTTTCACATACGGGTGCCCAAACTATTTTTTGAATTATACACATATCTAACGTTACAAACATTATCATTTTAGGTGCTCGAGACATAACGACCATTAAAAAATTCGTTAAGGAACACGTGTCACTCTTTAGTAATTTTAAATTTCTTTAAAAAAATATTAAAAATTTATTATATTTATAAAAAGTATTTTTTTCTAAAATTACAAAAAAAAAATCTCTAACCATAACCCTAACCTCCCTTACCGAACATGCTCACCACCATCGACGCTGCCCTTACCATCTCCCTGGTCTGTCGTCATCTCCCTTGCTATCATGTGCGTCGTTGGATCACTTGTGCATCATAAATTTGGGGGTTTAAGTTCACCGAAGATGTAATTTTGGGTCGCAATTTTGCCATTTCCTTCATCGAAAACACAATGTTTATGGTTGAGTTTGGATTATCATAGGGTGGAGGTTCGATCGACGCCAAACGATGACGATTGATGTGGGTTTAGAGATTGAAATTGGATTTTTCAAAGTTGAGGTTTTTTAAAAGTTTTTCAAAAATTTTGATTTTTTTAAACACATAATTTTAAATTTTTTATTTTAAATATTTTTTTTATAAATTATCAGAGCATGACACGTGTCTATTAACGGAAGTTTTTAATAATCATTACGTCTATGACACCTAAAATGATAACATTTGTAACATTAAGCACATGGATGATTCAAAAAAAAATTGGACACCTATCTATGGAAAGGAGTATAGTTTGAGCACTTATTTTATAATTAAGCATTAAAAAAAATCACGTCTACAATTTTGTTAATTTGTTAACAACCGGATACCAAATTGAAAGCTAAACTAAATATTAAGTATGATTTTGAAACATAAGTAATAATTTAAGTACTAAACATGTTCTATCTTTTAAAAAGGTTTTGACTTGGATATCTTAAAATATCATGAAGTCCTAATTACACTGCCAATTTGCTAATCTTCAACGAGAAGATTAGTTCCATATGCCACCCATGGAGAGATCATGTTTACCCAAAAAGAAGAAAATGAATAATAAGTTTACTTTTAAAAGATATAGGATTTCAATCTTTCTCAACTTAAACAATCCAAATAGGTTAAAAACTATGAGTAAAAAACAAGAATAAGACAGAAGCCACTCATTCATCGAATTCGATTGATTTCATGAACAAATCCTAGCTTCTTTCTTTTAGCACACAACGCCAGAAAATGAACATAGAGCAGAGAAACAGGTCACACTATATGTACATTATGCACCACACGACAAGACTCAACCCACCACATTATAAAACTAAAAACCTTGTTTCAAAGATTTTAGGTTACCAAGACCGTAACTTTTTAGAATAAAATGGGTAACATTTTAGGTTAAAACCGAAATTATTAGATTATCCATAATAAATAATGTAAATTGCATAACTATTTCGGCTGCAACCTAAAAAGTTACCGTCAAGACTTTTCAGTTGACATTTTAGATTAAAATCCGCCGCAATGTAACATTCTCAATTGCAACCGAAATTATTATCAATTGTATAACATTTTAAATTGGATATGATAACATTTTAAGATAAAATCAACTGCAAATTGGCCTTAAATTAGGCCCTACCCCTCAATCGTAAGTAATTTTAACACAGAGACCGCACATTCAAGCATATGATGTCTTGCTTAGTTGTAACCTGCAACAGTGAGTTCATCTTTTTCCACAGCATACTCTAGGTTACGAAATGGGCACTCCATTTCTAACACATTTCAGAGTACCATTTCATATATGTTATAAATTGTATGATATCTGATAAGCATTTGTGCTAGACATTCAATCTTATGAAAGTTCCATTAAGAATTTGGATCAGGGACAATCAACAAGGATTATTCAAATCTCGAATTCAAGTACCAGAACTCTTAAAAGTCAATAATAACCAAAATCAGAGAACAATAATTTAAAAGTATAAACCAGTAATTGTCATAAATTATCACATAAAAATCCAAAATTCTAAATATCAGTTAGCTAAAGTCATGATTCTCAAACAGTAGCTAAATTAGAAATTTAAGAAAAAAGGGAAAAAACGCGTACCAAGTTCCTAAATCCCCATGCAGATCAACCAAAATCGAATCAATTGGTCTTGGGATCAGGCATTGGGAACAACCCAGCACCAGCGGCTCCTCGAGGCGGCGAAAATCCCAGAAACTTCTGCAAATTAGTCCTTATACTAATAGAGCACAAGAAGTAGAGAAAAACCATCGAACAATCCGTGGAATCCTCCCCTTTTAACCCTCTATGACTCATCTTCATCACAATCCCAATCGGCTTAAACGGCAATTTGGCGACTACTTTCCCTTCGAAAAGAGAATTCAAGAAGCCAAAAACAACGATCAAAACGAGGGCGACGACAGCCCCAGATTTGAATTTGAACAAGGAAAGGTCACGGCTGGATTCCTTGAGGCTTGATTCGACACGATCGATCTTCTTGGTGTTTTGGATTTTTTGGTGGATAACTTGTTTGGGTTTTGGTCGGTTTTCATGGTTTCGAGTTTCTTGGCTGCTTTGTCGATTGAGGATTTGAGCGATTTGTAAGAGTTGGTTCGGTAGATCAAGAGCCATGATATGGCTTCGCAGATGATGGCCGTGCAGAAGGAGATCGCAACGACGGTTAGACTGTCGGAGTATTTGAACGATGATAGGAACTGGGTTGCTGCCATTTTCACAAGGGGGGTATTTTCAGGGGAAACTCGGTTTATCAGGTACAAAATGGAATAAGAAAAGGTGTCCAAGATGGGAGATCCGTTCGTTGTCAAAGGATTCGAATCGGAAGTAGAAAACAACTGCACTGTGGGCTGAAAAATTAGGCTTATTCCTCACTTTCTCACTTGGCCCCTTTAAATTTGGGCTTCCTGAGTTTGTTTGTTTGTTTACAAAATGTTCTCTCGGTTTTCTCCTTCCTTACATGATCGATGCTCATTATTAGTTAAATTTTAAAAAATATAGATATCTAACAAACTATTAGTTGATCTAGTGAGATGAGACACTAGATCTCTTAAGCAATATCAAGGGTTCGAACCATGGCATTTATGAATAGAGCAAATTAGGTTAGAAGGATCACCCTTGCCTCTACAGTACCCGATCTGGATTAGTCAGTTAATAGATCGGATACTAGTGATTAATTAAAAAAAAACAATATATAGAGCTTTATTAATTGGTCTAATGATAAAAAAAATTGTTCAATAGCGTTCGATCAAGTCGAGTCAAAAAATTTTGAGTTATTCGAGTTGATAAGTCCTATTTTACAACTCAAAATTGACTTGAAATTTTTTCGAGTTGAGTCAAGTTTATAAAATGTGAGTCGAATTTTTGAGTGCCTGTTTAAATTTAATAGTAAATATTTATAATATTATGATATTATTTGATTCAATTTAAATAGTTTTTATAACCATATAAAATACATATATTTTTCCATATTTTTTCCATATGTGATATACATATATCATACATATTCGAGATACTTGACTCAAACTTAAAAATCAACCAACTAATTACTAAAAATTTTGAGTTATTCGAGTTGTATTTTATAACTCGGTTTGAACTTAAAAAAATTTCGAGTCGAGTTTATGAAATTACAACTCGAAGTCAATTCAAAATGAATTTTCTCGAGTTGAGTCAAATTTTACTCACTCCTAATGTTCATGTTGTTTCATCTTATTTTGAAATTTGCCTTAATTATAATATCTTTCTGCTTAATTAATAAAATAAAAATATATATCTATTATTTTATATTATTTATGTTTATTTTATATTATATATATTCGAGATTCATGATTGTCCTAATCAATAATGTTGTTTTTAAGATTACAAGATGCATCTTCTTCTTAATAGTACAATATGGCTTACCAATGCACTCAATATTTTTGGTTTGTGCTAATACATATTATTTTAATAATATTTATATTCTTTTCCTCTTTTATATTATCTTTAAATAAAATAAACTTGTTAAAGATAATAAGTTTGTCTCTTCATTCGTTAACAGTTCACCTCTTCTAATTTAGATCAAGAACTACAAACAACAACAAAAAACAATAACTTTATCATTATCTATTGTGGGAGATGTAAAGACATGAGGGGAAGACAAGAGTGAAGGAGAATGGTGTGGTCAATATTCTTTCTTTAGTTGTGACTGAGAGGTATATATAGTAACCTTAATTGATGGTGTCAAACATCAATTATGGCTATTCGTATCTCAACAGGCTAAGTAGATTTGGCCTTCAGACCTTAGATTTCACTTTGATAGATTGTGTGAGCATGTTAAAGATCATATCTCGTCTATGCATTGTAATTAGTTTGGAGGTATGATACTTCTGTGTCCAGAGAATATGGGCTCCTTAAAAGCTTTAGTAAGGGGGGGGGGTTCATTTTGTAAATATTTTAAATAAATTTTGGAGAGAAAATGCAGTTTTCTTTCTTTATCCTCGAAGTTTGTTTGATAAGAAACTACAAAGGAAATTGGGTAGAATTTAAGGTATAGAGCAATTTTTTTGCATTAAGCCTTTCTAAAACTGTTCCTATCAAATGCTCCCAGCTTGAAGTGATATCGTTCACCTAAAGAATTAAATGAACTATTTCCTGATTATTTATAAGGAGATAGGGAACGAGCAGAGGCCATAGAAGATAATGTTTCTCACAACTCTAACTTAATGTCAGAGAGTCAGCTTCTTACATTTTATAGGATATTACCAATTTATATGGCAAAAACATATTACCAATATAAATTACAAAGAAAAAAATCTAAAATACATAAAAATTTGAAAATTTTAAGAAAGACGAATGTCCCCACTTATGCCCTTGGTCTATCCATGCACTTAACCATAGATCCAAGGTCTTGTTATTGTAGAAATGTGCATTTGGTAAGAGATTGTCAAATGCATTTTGTACTGAATATTCAATAGGTACTGACCCAAAATACTTTTTGGGGATCAATTATGAGAACCTGCACATCTCCCTTCCCATGACCAACCAACTGAATTCCATCAATTGTAGTTTCGGTATGAACTGATTATTAAACAAAATACTTGGTTCATGAGCGTAATACAGATAAGAAAGTTGGCTACGAAAATAAACTCTCCCACATCTTTACGAAACAATGATTCAAAGTGGAAAACTGTAGCATCATGAAAGGTTTATGCACATGGAGAGTAAAGATGGGTCTTCTTTCTAGGCCCCCCTACAAATTTGTTTTCCCAAGCACAACGTATTTGAAACTTTGATGTTCATCCTCCTAGAAATTGAAAAAATAGAAGCCGACTTCTTTGTAAATGGAATGCAGTTAAAACTATTATCGAGCAGTTCCTGCACACAAGATCATCTCTCAAACTCCTAGTTCAGTCGTCTCCTTCTATGCGCTCGAGTGTCGCTGCTGTCAATATCTGAAACCTGGAAACTATCATTTCTTCTTCTGGAAGATGAAGATGAAAGCGATACTCCAAAGTCTATTTCGGCAGCAGTGTCCATTTGACTTTCCGAGTTCATTACAGCAGCAATGCTTGAGAACGAAACTCTATCATCAGCGGGAGTTGGCTGTTCCTGGTTTCTTCCCACCGGATTGCTTCGGATATACGCTTCAACTATCCTTTCTGTTGAACTCAATGCAGATGACAGAGAAGTAAGTCTTGCAACTCTTCGTAATTGTGATTCTCTTTGACGGAACAAAGAATGAATCCGGGAGTACATGACATCAGTACCATTTGTGCTGCTAGGCCTCGAGTCAACATCAAGTGATGCAACTGTAGTTTGCTCACCACGTAAACCACGAGATGTCAAGATCCTGTTAAGGATGGAATCAGCTATTTCTGTTATTCCCCGGGCACCATTGGACTCTCGTGGAGTCAGGTCATTGCCCAAATCAAATCTGCTTCCAATATGGAGAACCATCTCCTCCACTGAGAGATTTAAAGTGGTCCTTTGAATAGTTTGCCTCCAACTCTCCACCCGCCATGCAGCGGGCCGAGGAGGGACCTTAAGACTTGAGTCATCTTCTGGTTCAAGGTCAATTTTCCCCCTACCGTAAATCGGGGTCAGAGTTTTAACTGTCACTTCTTTTTTGCAAACAGGACATTCCTTTGCATCTGAATGCACATCTAACAACAGGTGGATGCAACGCCAACAAAACAAGTGACCACAACAAGTTACAACGGGTTCCCGGGCCAAATCCAGGCATATGTTACAATCGAAGAAACTCCCATCATTTCTAACTCCCTTCTCAACATCATCCTTGCTTTCTGAGACATCATCTTCCAAGAATCCATTGGTATTCTCACGTGGTTTGGGTAAATCACTCGCTCTTTCTTCCACAATGATACTGCCCTCACCTGTATGTACCATACCCACATTGTCCGAATTCCCCGTAAATTGATTCAACTCCACAGATAGGTTCTGAGTTGCAGCAGGAAATTGAACCTGCTGCCATCTCAACCGGTGTCGCCCAACGGCTTCTCTAATCCGATCGAACCGGTTATCAACCAAACCACCCCGATCCAAACCTTCATTAGACACTGATCCTGACCCTATCTCAGGAGTAGGACCCAGATTCAAATCAAGGTTCATAGCACCATGTGTTTCATTACCCATAATAAATGGCTCCAAATACCCCTTATTTTCGATCCCAGATAAAACTTCCTTACAATTTCTAGGAGTTCAAGGCAACCAGATATATATATATATATATAACTCTAGTTTATCCTAAGATTGAATAAACCATACCAGATAATCACAAAAGTAAGCCCAAACCATCATAAATACTAAATTTCACCCTAAAACATAATGAAGTCAAAAATTAAGAACCTTGTTCGCTAATTAATGACAAACATCAAGAACCCAGATCTAAAATCCAAATTCGCAACCTCACAAATTAAAAGAAACCTAGCATTAGATCATCGAGCTGACGATTATAAATACAAAGGAAAGTAAATATGGAAAAAATATAGTAAAAATGAGACGAAAAAGGGAGACCTGACTTTAACAGCTGCCGATATTGGCCATCAGAGTAGGAGCTTTAAGTGTTGGGAGTCACTAAGTGAGATGGAGCGAACCTTATCTGAGTTAAATTGGGTTTGAGTCGAGTCGCAATGGATCGTTATCTTCTTGGGTAAGCGATATTTCGTCTTTTTTTTTCTTGCTTTGCATCATTGTCCCCATTAATTATTTAGAGTTGTTCCCTAAAATATTCTTAAGATGTTTCATCTCAAATTATTAATTCCCTTAAAAAAGTAAAAGGATAAATTACATATTTAATCACTTAATTATGTATGTCATTTTGTATTGATCATTCAATTATATTTCTTTTCAAAATCATTATGAAACTTAATTTTTTATTCTGTTTTAATCACTCAATTTAATTAGATTTATTTTTAAAATTTATAATATATAAAAAATTATTTATATAACTTTTTACACAAATTTAATTTCACAAAAACATGAAACACCATGAAAAATTCACATCCAATCTAAAAGAATGGAAATAATTTGCATGGTGCTGCCTAATTCATTTTTCATCTTGGAACTCTGAGTGATGGTATAACTTGAAGATTCGTGAGGTAACTTTTATGGGATAATCACAGACAATGGCCGAGCCACAACCTTGTGAGAGTGGTACGTGTCCACTTTGAAATCCGAAATTTCTTTAATTAGTTACTTATTTTACTGATGATATCCTCCCTGAAAATTTTTATATCCACCCTAAAATCTGAGTTTTCTTTTATTATTTACTTATTTTACAGACGGTGCCCACACTGAAATTTTATTTATACCCATCTCATTTAAAAAATTATCGTTAATATATGTGTGCTCACCCTAAAAATATTTATGATCCGCCACTGATGACAAAACAACACCACACGTACGAAGATGAAAACCAAGGCGCAACAGACTGAGGAAAGACAAAGACATGCCTCAACTATTTTCCATAAAAAATCACAGTTCAGTTTATTTGATCCCCAAGTAATAAGTTCAGGGGAATGAATGCAAACCCTAAACACTAATAATAATAAACCCACAGAAACAACATTGAACATAGGCTAACGCTAGCTATACTCTGGTATTTCATTATATCCATAAAGAATCTTATCAATCAAACTCAGTTTAAATGTATGCACACAGCTTGTTTGCAACATTCTATACAAATGTTCCTATTAAGAAAAAAAAACCCATTCTTTACAAGCAAAGTTTCACACGATGACTGAATGGATTATTACCACCAGGAAGAAGAACATCTGATGAATGCCTCGAACTCCTTTAGAACATCTAACTTGATCACGATACCAGCCGTGTTTTTCATGTTTTTGAGTGCAATCTGAGCCGCTTTTTTATCTCTTTCTCGACGTTGCATATTTTGCTTCATCAACTTAGTTTTGATCATCGTCTTTTCCTCAACCAGACTTTGTTGGAATGTTTCCTCCTCTTGTTTAACCTTCATTGGATCAACACCACCAACTTTGTCGTTATTATCATGGAGTTCCCTAATCTTCTGTCAAGCACTGAAAATGTCATATGCAAATCTGCATTTAATGGTTGCAGCATGAAGATTCCTCTTTGATGCTTCTTCTATATCTCTGACAGCTTTTCTCTCTAGAATATGAATGGCTTTTATCCTAATTCTATTTTCATAGTTTCTTGGACAATAGGTTTTGTTTGTGTTTAAAAAGCAAAACTCAGTCGGTGTAAATTCAAATCCTAACGACGTCATTCTTGTTTTGAGCTTAAAAAGACAATATCTGGACTAAAATATCCGAGGATTTAAGCGTTCACGCAGAGCTATGCCAGGATGGTATCTTGGCTCACCACCGGTACTTGGTTCGCCAAAACTCCCGTTCAATACTCTATCCACATTGAATTTAAGGACTACGGGAGCTTCCATTGTTCTTCTTACCTATAATTGAAAGACTTAGGATAAAATCATTAATGGAGGAAATGACATGTGACCATATAGCTTCGCACCAACATCTGATTCTAAGGATAGATAAATCGAACATTTGACTCGCGTCGATCAACTTTCCTTTGTATACAATTTCATTCATGAAAAGCCATAAAGATCATACAAATGACCTTTCAATTGGACCGCTCAGACCATCCCAAAAAATGTGGACTGTGCTAATTTTTAAAATGAAACCTTTAAAATATTTTATGACAAGACAAAATTTAAAATATCAAAATTTACCATATTACAATTAATTTTTATAAAATAAAAATCCAAACATATGAAACTAAGACAATATCACAAAACAACTCTATAATTGTGGAAATTTATGTAAAAATTATCATCCTTAGAATGCTCTTAGAAACAAAATTGTGATATTTTCCAAAGTGTAGGCCCCAAATTTTAAGGCCTTGTGACATATCACATGCCACACTTGCCGATGGATGGGCCTAGACCCAGCTATACAATCTTTCCACGTACATAACAAACTTCTAGGGGTCGTTCGGCTGAATGGAATGTAAAATTATCTTTGTGAATACGATTATTGAAATGTTATATTATATAACATGTTATTGGAAATGTTGTATTACCTTATTTGATTTGTTTAGCAAAAATGTAAAATTACAATGTCTGGTTGAAGGAATATAAAATGTAAAATTTATATTTTATCAAATTGTCTTTGAGATATAGTTTCTTTTTTAACAAGTTCAATTTTCAATATTAAAGTCAAAATATTTATATGAAAGTTCATACAAAATATAATTTTTTTATTATTTGTAATTTATATATATATTTAATAATATTTATACATAAATAATTTAATATATATTTTATTTTTTTTATTTCATTGAAAATACAGAAAACATACTTACATTAGTTTAATTGTGTGTTTATATTTAGTTATCAATATATTGTGATATGTACATAATTACATCAGTATAAGTATGTGTTAATTGTTATACTTTTTTATTTTATTCATGCTACGTGTATGAGTTGTATAACAAAATATCATATCAAATTATTTGATAAAATTAATAAAAAAATATAAAAATATAATATGAAACCTTTTATGAAAATTAATCCTAAAAATAAACGTAATAGAACATATACCAAAAATAAAATTTGAATTGAATACATACATAAAAATAATCAAAATAAAATAAAATAAATTGATACATTTTTGTTTTGTTTTTTATTTTATATGCATCATATTATTTTATAGGGTAAACTACACTAGATATCACCAATATTTAGATGTTGTATCGTTTATATCATTGAACTTTTAATTTTGCCAATTATAGCAGTGAACTTTATTTTCATTTCAATTATATCACTAGGACTTTAAATCATTAACATCCATATCAAAACAACATTATTTTGGTGAGGTGTCTATGTCGGCAGTCGTCTGCCACATCAGTAGATGTCAACCACGTCATTGTGACGTTAACAATTTAACGATTCAGTGATAAAATTGAAACGAAAATCAAAGTTCAGTGCTATAATTGGCAAAACTGAAAGTTTAGTGGTATAAACGATATAACACCTAAAGTTCATTGGTATATGATACAATTTACCCTATTTATAATAAGTATTAAAAATTTAACATCACTAAAAAGAAATAAAATAAATTTATACTCGTGTAATTATATACAAAAGGAATGATCTTTTTGAAATAACTATAACATTCAGGAGTATTATTGTCCTAAGGGGAGAGAATTGTCTAATACATAAGAAAAGGAAGAGAATACCCAAAAATTGCCACTCTAGAGAATACTTCATTACCTTGGGAGGGAATGCTCTTAAACCAAACGTGATTATGTGAGTCCGAAAAAGATTATTCCCTCTCATAATGATCTTTTCGATGAACCAAACACTCCTTTAGAATTACTTAGAAACTGGAATGGTAACATGAACAGAGATGGATCGAGGGGATGGGTGGGGGAAGTCGCCCCGTGAAATTTTTAAATTCTCCTATATTTTATATTTTTTCGTACGTTTTCTATTAATAATCGATTTTCGTCCTCCTTAAAATTTTATAAGTTTGATCCCTTCTAAAATTTTATAAGTTCCATCCCCTCTAAAACTTTATATGTTTGCATCCCTAACCTAAAACTCTAGGTTCATCCCTAAACATGAATTCCCCATAAATCACACCAAACGAACCAAGAGATTGAACGATGGCAAAACAAGTGACTGATATCTAACAAATAAAGTGATCAAATGGAAAGTTGTGTTAGGAAATAAAAACGAGTAATTTTCCTATAACCATATTAGTGAGAATACGAAATAAAATCAGAAAAATAATACCCAAAATTGATAACGGAGTTCAACCAATTATGCCTACGTCTCCGGACTCTGTAGATCTTTTACTAAAGAGAGAAAATTTACAGGTGTTTACAAAACACTCACAACTCACAGTAAAACTCTCTAGTATTGGGAGAAAAATGATTTTGGGATGATTTTGAAGCTAAATAGGTAAGGGTATTTATAGTTGAAGCTTAGGGACTAATCTTGAAATACCCTAAAGTGCAGGGACTAAAATACAATTTCTCCATTACTATTTTTCAACACAAATCCGCCAACCTTTGAAAATATGCACCATTCGGTGTCAACTTGAATCATGCACCGAAATTATGCAGCCATTATTGACTTTTCCAACAATCTCCCACTTGAAGACTGATTTTAATCTGTCTTCACACCTCGATCAATGCAGCAGCATTTCTGCTCTTGTTACTCTAGCATACCAACTAAAGC